CCGAAACCTCTAAAATCAAGACAGGTACAGCCTCGAGGAAAGCATGCCCGATTTCAAGAGACAACTATAGCTTTCCAGCTAAAAGGGAACAACCGGCCGAAGGAGAGCAGAGTACCCTGCCTGCCTCCGGACCCCGTATCCCCACCCGTTCCACGTAAGCGGTACGTTCGCAGTCCGAACCCGTCTTTATGCCACTTTCCTGGGGAAATGCTGCCGTGTCAGTCCGGGTGTGCGGGATGGGTTTGGCCGGGCTGTCGGACCGCGGAGGCGAGCGGCGCGGAACGGCGCGCTGCTGGGTGGTTGTGTTCTGTTCCCGCTCGGCACAGAGTGGCCTCGTTCGTACAGCCTGGGAAGAGCCATTGCTTTATGCTTTTGCATGGATAAGGTCCAGGTGTTGTCTGAGAGTCACAGGCCAAACTGTGCTAGGCAGGACATTGACAAAAACCACGGCACGCAGAATGGGTATTCACAGCACTGCATTAAGGAGGTAAATACTATTATCTCCCTGTTCCCGAAGTACACCATACGTATCTTTGCCCTAGCCAGTAACAGACTGCATGTTTGCTAATTTTGAACTATATTCAGCATCCTGTGGACCAGGGCTCCCCAAACTTAGTTTACTTTGGGGCTGCTGTTTGTGGCAGTTGAAGCAGGAGATACCGGGCAGTATTTGTGGATAGCCATGAAGTTCCCTGTTTGCCAGTAATACAAACATAATTGAAGATCCCTGACTCTCAACAGAATTTCCTGGCTTATATGGTCTTAAAATCCGGATTAATGTTCTCTCTACAGTTTTTTGCAAGTTTTCTAAATTAATGCTCAGAATCACAATTTCATTCTTCAGTTGTTAGAGTGTGCATTTTGTAACCCTCTATGTTACTGTTTTATTTTTGAAGACCAGCATGGCTTGAAGGAGAAACTTCAAGAAGAGTGAAGGTTCTAACTGACCTTAGCAGAGGAGAAATGAAAAAAAAAAAAAAGTTAAGGTAATGACTTACTTTGAAGAGCTAATAAATGGTGTCAGATCTGATGTGGTCTTCTCCCCACTCCCACCAGTGCCCCAAAATGTACATGTATGTGTTTGGGTTTTTTAAATTATTGTTGGCATACCAAGTTTCAGAATGGCGTTATCATATGTTCTTTTTTGTGCAGGTCACAAAGTGCTTCTCCAACCCATTATGCAGACAAAGTTGAGAAGGCAGTACGGGAGCGCTTAGAGCCACTAACATATAGGACACAGGTAGTACAGTCAAGCTCATGCTACTCTTTGAAGGATGCCTTTAGAGCTGTAAAACACTTGTAAAGGGGCAACACAGTTTCTTTCCAACTTAGTGCAAGTCATATTTATGTACTCAACACAGTTTCGGACGTTTGGAGAGTGTATTTCCATTTCAGTACATGGGTCTTGAATTATTGTCATGAAGTTTGGCAAAACTGCATTAAATTTTTTTTGTTAGCTTCTTGTCAAGTAGATGTGTTTTTAAGTTGGTTTTGAACGGTCATAACAGTTCCATGCCAAACATGACTGGACTTGACGTTTAAGATGAATTTTTATCTTTGCCATATAGCAGAATGCATCTGGAAAAGTAGTACTGATTTCCCAGACTTAGCAATTTCAACTTACATAAGCCATGTCTTCAAAACAGCGTCCTTGGACGGGCATGTGTGCTTTCTGAAGTATCATTCTGTGACAATAGACAATATGAAGCAATGAGAAAGCTCTTTCTAACATCATCTCTTTTGTATATTTTTTGCTTGATGTGACCTTGAATGCATAAAGTTGCTTAGGGGGAAACGTGTTTTCATATGAAATACTACAGGTAAATGAATAGTGATAATTGTACCATGGCTAATTGGTAAAATTGAACACAGCTGAAACCTACAGCTGGATCCTATATATTTACTCATTACCACCTGGAGCTGCTGTGACACTGTTCCTGTATGATAAGTTAAATGTGTGTGTGTAGTGTTTTGTAAGATGAGGGACTTCACTTCACTTTCTTGAATTCCTGGGTGATCTCTGATCCTGTGCCAGTTTTGTCTTCAATTTGGGAACATAGTTGTGTAGCAAGATTTTTCCGTATTCATTGGTTTTATTGGTAGGAACATACTAAGCTGTTTTTATTGATTTGGCTTATTGTGTGGGTGGAAGGAAAACAGGAATTTTTTTGGGTTTTGTTTAAATGACATTGTTTAAATGACAATTGGATTATTTCCATGAGCTGCTGTAAGAAATGTTTGACTTGTAAGCATTTTTTCCCCCCAGTTGTTTTTTTTTTATTGTGTTTTTCTGTCTGTCTTTCTTGCATTGACTGTATGGTTTGGTTTGTTTTTGTTTTTAAATAGCAGGTTGCAGCAAATGCAGATATTCTGAGTGAAAAGCTATTGGATGATATTTTGGAAGATACTGCTCAGGAACTGTGGAGTATAAAGCAGCGTGAGAGACTCCAGACCGAGGCTCTGCTTATGGCTGACACTCATAGTCTGGAGTCCATGTTGCAAAGAATGGAAGAAATTGAAGTAAGATTTTTCTCTCTTGGTTGGTCTCATTGATGCCAATTTAAATAGTTTACTGTTTGTAAATCGTAATATCTTTGAGTATCTACATGCTTAAATGAAGCAAGGTCTGACTGGATCAGTGTATGAAGGGAAAGGCTTGGAAGGAGTTTGCACTTCAAGCAAAGTGTACTGTAAGAATGGAAGAATGTTCACCCTAATTGCTAGCTTCAGAGTTGGTAGGCTGGAGTTTGCTTCCCACCTCAAGACTTTGTGGCCTAGATCATCATATGTGAATGGGAGAATCAGTATGACGATGATGTTGATTGTCTCACAGATTGGAAAGTATTTGAATATTTATGAATTTAATTTAAATTTTCTTTCATTTTTTTTGTGATATAGGACCCTAGTATTCTAGTAACACGAGCATCTCAAGGAAATATACTCTGGCAATCCAAAATATTTTACAGGGCAACATAGGGAAGTCAGATAAATACATGGTTATCTGTGCCCTTATTTATCCATCCTCCTATATAATTATTCATGAGGTTATCATTTACTTGAATTGAACTTTCTCATTTATTGCGTTCTTAAAAAGTTTTCTTTGATCAGCTTTTCCACAGTTCTTCGTTCAAGTCCCATTTCGACCATCCTGTTCAGTGAAATTTATTGTAACTTAGAACTAAAGAACTAAACTTAGAGTTTAGTGCCATTTACTTCTAGAGATCTATTCATAAGTTGGAAGCATGAAGCTTCCATTGCGCAGTGTCCGTATCCGTATGAGGCACTTGAGCGTACGTTGAATTCACTGTTGGTAAGACAGGAACAGCGTGAGGGCCCTTCAGTTGTTTGGCTGAAATGGGAGATGTTGCCATGGTACTGGCAACTAGTATGTGTTGATTGATTAATTTTGTATGTTCAAAACCAGAGATACCAGGAGGATGTACGCAGGAGATTCACCCAGATTGTGTACGGTGATTTGGAGTTCTGGGCCCAGGAAAACAAAATGGGTGAGTGTCTTTTTAATGCAACTTGTTTTTCCCGTAGTCTGTATCTTTAAATTCAGATGTTTTGACATCAAAATCATTGGATTATGTGTGATCAAATAGCACCATACAGACACATTTTTTTACTGTAAGACTGTTCCTAAAATACAGTTCTAAAATCAGTGTTTTGGAGACTAAGAATCTCTTCTGAGAACAGGCTGTCATTTTCTACTTACCTTTATTGGGGCTGCATTTGGATGGAAAGCACTGCTAGTGCAAATAGCTGAGGGATAGTAATCTTTAACACATGCTTCCAGTCATTAAGTGTTTAAATGTTGTCCCTTTTCTTTGTCATTCCTTATCTTAGATACATTCTTTTCTACCAAAATGTGAGTAATTATTTTTGTGCAGTGAAGATTATATTCTGTAAGTACATACACTCCAGTTCATCTGTAAGCTACTTCCATTTACTCCAGAAGACAGCTAGTTTACCTTATAAGTCTGAGGTATCCTAAAGCCACTTCACTCATATTCTTGTTAAGACTTGTCTGTCTTCAGCTTTGAGAAAGGCACTGGCAAATCTGTAAATCTTAATCTTGAAAAGACTATTTAATGTGTTCTCATTTGACTTGATTCCTTTGAAACACCATTAATTACTTACTAGTAATCATTTTCATGCTGATGAATTGAAAACTTCTTAAGAGTTCACAGGCTGAGGTAAGGTATAGTGACACAATCTCTGTTCCTGCTGTTGATTTGCTTAGGCAGGAACAAGAAGATATTTATCTTCTAGTTTGCTTATCTCATTTTTTTTTTCCTTTGTTTTAATAAACTATCAGTTTAAATGGCTTATATTTCAAGAGTAAATGTTAGGTAAATATTAGTGTAGTAGTGAATCCATAACAGTTTAAAGTTTTCCTGGCAGTACATGGAAGATAAGATTAAATTACTGAAGCTTAAATTATTTTTCTCTTTCCTTATTCCATTCAAGTGATGGTGATACTGTTTTTAGATCTCAGAGCATACATGCAAGTTTAATTTTTGTAGCTTCAGAAAATACAGATTTTTCTGTACAGAATTTATTATCCAATATGCTTCAGCAAAAAGTATTTAATCCTTGAAAAAAAACACAGTTTGGATGCTTACAGTTCACATTAATCACATTTTTCCTGTCTGTTTTTATTGGATAGAAAAGAAATGAAAGAATCTAAAGTCCTTTGGGTGAAAGATACAACTAACTTTGCACATCAGATTAAATTTTTAATATGAGGGACCTAAGTGATATTAGTAGGAAACTGTTCACTAAAGAAAGGTTGCATTCTAAACAATAGTTTGATGTTTTCTGTACGTAAGTGTACATACTTTAATATTGTTTGCCACAGTGGCATGCAAATAAGGATGCCTTAAGCTTGTTGCTTTTCCCATCCCCCTGCTCTGTTTTTTATCCTACTGTTTGACTGAGTACAATTAGCTACACTCATTTTTCCAAGCTGAGTATCTGATCACATACTGACTTTAATGGAGCTGTGTTGTTTTATAGCAGTTGGAAAATCTCACAATAAGACTGGTGAAGACTTAGCCCAAATCTTGTTGGATTTTTTTTTCTATGTCTTGGCTTTACTGCCAAGCTGCACTAGTTTTAGTTTAGTGGTATTTTTGTGTCTCTCCTCTAGAACTATTCACTGACACAACAAACTATTTATACTAAAGGTAGGATTTCTAAAATCATAGAATCGTAGAATGGTTTGGGTTGGAAGGGACCTTCAAGATCATCTAGTTCCAACCCCCCTGCCATGGGCAGGGGCACCTTCCACTACACCAGGTTGCTCAAAGCCTCATCCAACCTGGCCTTGAACACTCCCGTGGATGGCCCAGCCACAACTTCTCTGGGCAACTTGTTCCAGTGCCTCAACACCCTCAGAGGGAAGAATTTCTTCCTTAGATCTATTAGAAATCTCCCCTCTGGCAGTTTAAAGCCATTGCCCCTTGTCTTACCACTACTCGCCCGTGCAAGAAGTCCCTCTCCAGCTTTCTTGTAGCCCCTTTAGGTGCTGGAAGGCTGCTCACCTTTAATACACTGAGCTCTTAAGAATCCTATATTGAATGTACATTTTAGGGGCTTGTTACCTTCAACACATTACTCATCTGAAGGACTTCCTCTTAAAAGAAGCAAAAGTCTTTGTGACGACTTACTTGCAGTAAATGTAGTTTTTGTCTTCCAAAGAAACAATTTTTAATGTTATTTTCTTCCTTCTAGAACAACAAACTATATCAATAGCTGAAAGTCCTACATCTCCTCATCCAATTCAGAGAACTAAATTAATCGGATGCATAGAGCCAGAAACAGATATTTTATTTGAAAAACCTTTTGATGGCAAGTAAGTGCAATATTTGGCCCTACACTAAACTGGTGCATATGAGCTGTGTATCTTCATTATAGTGTTTTCATTACAGAAAATTGTGGTTACTATTTGAAGAAATTTTCTGATCCTTCAAAAAGATACTTGAAAATGGAGTTCTAGCCTAATGATTATTTTATATTTTCAGTGATCTTGATGAAAACAAAGAAGCAGAGGAGAAATTTCAGACCAGAAATGACCTTCTGCAACCCTTGACTCGGAATTCCCTGCAGAAGGAGTGCTATGTGTCTGTCTCTGTGCCGACGCATATGCTGCAGAGCATCTTGGATTATAACAGCAGATACAAGCATCACTTAAAGCTTATTTCCCATGAGGTGGTAGGCAGTTTCAATCCATGGCAGATTGCTGAGAGGTATATGAACTATCTTGGTGCTTTTCATGTGACTGTATCAGCTGATGAACAGGTTTTTCTGTCCTTATTCAGGAACGGAGTGGTGAGGGGGCCGCTTAAATTCCAAATTGAAAGCCAGGAGCAGTCAACTATTGCCTGGTACTTGATGTTCATGGATTTTTGAGATAGTTGGGTAAAACAAAAGGATATGGGAGCAGAATGTCCTGTAGGAGTGACTATTTTTCACTGTAAAATACATGGTGAGTGTGGCAAAGGAGGCAGATGTTCCGACAGCTGTGGTCACACCACTGTTGGAACCGCTGAACCAGAGCGCTGCCGCACGCCCTGCCGGCTCTCGGCGCCGTCACTCCTCCCGGTCGGAAGTGCCGTGCGATGGGCGGCTCGGGTGGGTCGCTCCTGCCGGCTGCATTCCGCCCTTTGCCTGGCACACGTTGCGGCAATCCAGCTCGGAATGCGGGCCGGGATGGCGCGTGCTTCAGGGGCTACTCGTGACCACCAGGGGGCGCCACAAACCCGCGATACGCCGCAGTGTCGCGATATTCCAAAGAAACTCCCGCGCGGTGCTCGGGCGATCCGGGAAGGACCAATTTTATGGCGTTTGAGCATTGTGTAAGCCTGAAGAGAACAGTTGTGTTCTTACACTAAATAGTTTTCCCTTCTGTAGCAGCTGCTGTGGTCCAGGGATCACTGAAAATTGACATTTCTTGACTCACTTTTCCTTGAACTTTATTGCTCTCAGTAAGGCCTGGTCCAGTGGCAGCTAAAATCAGTAAGAAACTTCCCACTTAACTTCAGTGGCCTTTGGATGAGCACTGTAGTATGTTAACTCTTATTCCCAAAGCAGGATTAGTATTTAAGCATTTGAAAAAAGGAAGCAACTGTGATCTGTCAGCTTTAAGCCTGAACTATGTCCTTTGCTATGAACCAGCCTGAGGAAAGAATTTCTGATATCTGATAGAATACATATCAGAACACATATCAGATCTTTTCTTGAACTAAGCAGTAGAAAGAATGAAAAAAATATGAGTATTTGCCTTTTAAAATCAGAGTATTGGTATCAATGGAACGAGTGACTGGAATTTGAAATCTGACTTTCTCAACCTTGTCTTTATTTCCCTCCCTCTCCCTCAGTTTCGCAGAGCAACTAACAGAAGAAGCCCTGTGTGATGTGGCAGCAGAGCTGCAAGATGTTTGTGAGGATTATGCAGAAGCTGTGTTCACATCGGAGTTTTTGCAGCCAGCGCAGTAAATGTTTTCAAATCTGCCCCGTCATCAAATGCAACATGAGCCTCAGTCTTATCAGATGAACTCACTTTTCGTGGTTTTTTTTTTTAAAGTCTGTGACATTCTCTTCACCACATAAATTAAGTCCGTCAAGGATTAATCTCAGGTTTTTATAAAACCATTATCACAATGTTTTCCTTTTCAGACTTTATTATACTGCAGTTATCAGGACTTTTTTTTTTAGACATTGTTTCAGTAGAATGAAGTAAACTGTTACAGGTGAAGTTTATATATTTTGATACGAATACTGATCTATTTCTAAATTACTGAATTACTTCATTCATTTTTATGTGTGATCTTACTAGACTAAAAGACTGGGAGGAGGACTAGGTTCAAGCAGCGTCATGGAATTAGTTGTACTGTGCCTCAGTTTTCTGCTTTCAAATGGAGAGAATCTGATTTACCTGCCTCATAAGGGAGCTATGGGTTTTAGTTTATTCTTCTCAGTAAAATGCATTGAATATATCTGATAGTTGTGTTGGAAGAATGAAGCATTATTGATATTTCCAAAGCCAAGATGGAACAGTCCAGAGTAAAAGCTGTTTGATTTGCTGTTTAGGGCTTTCAGCATCATGTCAGAAAGATGTTTTCTGACCACCATGCTTAGCGTATATACTAGGACTAGTTCTTTTGGGGATGTGGCTATCCAAAGGAAGGATTCTCATGGCACAGCATTAAGTAGATGTAAACACTTAGCATTGTATGTACTCGTAGGCCAACAGCTTGCTTGGACTCTTGCAGTCAACTTCTGAATGTAGTACGTCTTCTGTTGGCTTCTGAATATCACTAGTACGTTATGCACAGATAAGATCTTTCAATAGAAGCTCATAATGGAGATTTTCTTACTTTTTTTTTTAAAACTAAAATATTGTAATTTTGTAGGCATTTAGTGATTCAAGCCCACATTCCTTACTCTTATAACAGTTGGCATTTCTGCAATTCTGAATTAACTTGTACATTGATCACTTGTAATGATCTAGTTTGGGTTATGTCTGGAGTGAGCAATGAGTAATAATTACTTATGGTAATATTCTAGGGAGATGCGGATTCAACCCTTGAGGTAACCCAAAAACCAATATGATGATCTGTTTCCTTTGACAAATTTCTTTTTTCCGATAGTGTTCAACCTATAACAGAATCATTTTTAGGCTAACATTATTTTGATTTCCTCTTATTAGAACATACCTTTTAAAAATAATTTTGTTTTTATTGAAGCCTGGTTTACTGTTTTGTAACAGTAACTTGAAATTTACACCAAATGTAATGATGTAGATGTTGCCACTGATGTGTGACTTTGCTGATGTGTGATTTCTGTAATTTAAAACACTATTATTTTTTATTTCTGAGATTATAGAAATAAGCCTGTTTTTAAGTCCAGAAAATTAAAGCCATAGTGTCTCTATGTGTATATATGTGAATATATACTTGTGAAAGTATTTTCAAGATATTTTATTTTTTAATAAACAACACTTGTTTCTTAGGACTGAATGTAGTTTTAATTTACGAAAACTTCCATCTGAATCCATTTGGAGTAGTCAGCACCCAACATGGAAGGGAGTACCTGGCAACATTACAGGAGTCAGACTACCATTTGTCTCAAAGTAATGTGGTCATCTGTCAAGGTAAACATACTTTATTAAATCCCATGGTGCCGCGAGTGGTATCGTCTGACTGATTATGCCAAAGTGAACTTTTATTTTGGATGAGAACTTTGTGGCATTTGGGTTCCTTCTTGGAGCAGAAAGTGTGAAGAATGAAGGCTTAAGGCAGGATTCCCGACTTCACACTCTTCAGTCCTTCCTAAGGAACTTAACTAAAGGATTTTGTAATGCATTATTTAAACATGCAAGCTAGACAGTTATGAAGTTTCTACCCTGAAAAACTGCGTAATTACAGGGCTTCGTCTTAAAGTGACTCTGCATGTCATTGTTCCTAAGGGACAAATCAGCATCAAGCTGGATAAACATTATATATGTGCATAATTCTTGTCACAGTGTGCTGATAGAGATCATACATGGGGCTGAAATGTGCAACTGTAATACCACTGCAATTGTTAACTGTGCATCTGATGAGCCATGTTAACTGGCCACACACTTATTTAAAACACTGTCAGGAATCTGAGTCCATACTTCTTTAAAGCGTAGTCATGGGGGAGTACCAGAAGCAGTTTCAGATTTACGAAGTATTTTAATGGTATAGATAGTGAAGAATACATTTTCTTGGAGACTGTGCTGTTTCTCATTGCTGAGAGTCTTTGGGAACAGGTTAGATATCCAAAACATACTATTCTACCTGGTATTGCATAGGATCCACTTCCATGGGTCTGGACTAGATTTCTTGTAAGATCTTTGCAGACCTGTTTTTTTCTTGATTCTTTATGGGCAAGTTTCTACAATGTCAGAGCTAAGAAAGGAATGAAGCAAAAACAGGATGAAGGAATTCAGTGGTTCTATAGATGTGTGGGTGACTCCAACAATCAAAAATTGCTGCAGTCATAGCTGAAGTAGAATTAAAGTTTACAGAGTGGTTTGGAGTGATTTAGGTGATGGCTGGTAGAAGCATATCAGAGCATTTTGGTGCAAGGGCAGTGCCATATCCTGGGTGTGCCAACAGGTATTAATTGCCCTGACTAGCCTGCCTGGGACCTCTGCCCCTGGCCAAGAGTCCCCCCTGTAGTCGGGCAAGTCCCTGCTCCTTGCCGAAGCTGTGCTACCGGTGCAGGCCTGTACCCCCCGGCTCATCCAGACTCACTTGACCTTGGCTCCAGCTCTTTGCCTTGTGTGGGCTGGTGATGCCTGGGCTGTCGGTGGGATGTGTGACTGTCGCCATCCTGCCTTGCTCAGGTGCTCTGGGACCGTGTGCTGCTGGCACGGTCACTTCCCAGCCTGTGCCACCGTACCCTCGGCTCCCGGCGTGTCCTCCCTCCTGGGGCAGCCGTGCTTCTCCTTCCCGGTAGATAACTAGGTGTGCAGGAGCACTGAAGTGAGGGGGTGAGGGGTGGCTCTGGAAATGCTCTATGAGGACCCTGAAGACTGGACTGTGCATTCGCATTCTACAAGCAGCTCCTGCAACTCTTTAAAACATGCAATCTACTCTGTAAATATTTAACTGTAGAAATTAAATCTGCATGCTTTTGGGAGTGAGGTAGTTATGGCAACAGTGTTTGCGCTACCAGTGCTTTGGAGAGCTACTTTATTCAAATAATTCAGCTTCCATTAATGTCGATGTAAGAGCATAATTGAACTCCTTTCTTCTCTTTGGCTTCCTTAGTCTCTGGGTTGCTCCTGGAGGCTAACTTTCTGCACGTCCTGCTTCTCTATGGATTGCTTTCCTTCCACCAGGAAAAAGTGGAGGGTTTTTTATTTGGGTTTTTTTTTGAGAACTGATTCACCAGCAACAGGAAAAGGGGCTCTGTTCATGATGTACATGTCAGTCAATTATCAGCCAAGTAGAAGATCTGCTTCATTGTATCTGCTCAAGGTATGTCCTGGAAGAACATAATAGTTTCCAAATGTATTTTTTCTCAGAAGACCCCACATTCTCTCTTGCAGCATGCTTGAAGTGCTGGATTGCACTTAAGTTTTAGGATGGTAGTCTGGCCTGAGAGAGAAGCATCAAGTTGAAGGACAGTGGTCCCAACTGGTCATTTATCATCTATTTCCTTGTGCTTCACCTGTGTGTTTGTGTTTGCCTGTTGTCTCTTGCATAGCAGAGGTTGCAATGTGTTGGTAAAGGGTTGCTCACAGCTCCTAGCACGTGGAGGGAAGCACCTGACCACTGGAGCTCCTAACCACTACTACAGTATTAACGTGGCACAGAGATCTGGCTGGCAGGACCTGCCTTCTGAAATATCTCATTGAGAATAACTGAAACAAATGTAAAACAGGACTTCATTTTAAATTGCAGGTAGTATCCTGCACAGAAGGAAATGTAACCTGGTGTTCAAAGTTCAATCCTTACTGCTTCTCATTTCGTGGAGAAAATGTCTGTCTTTACTGGTTGCTTTCTTATTCTTTTTGCTGTAGGAAGATGTCTTTTTTCACCGCATAAACTCAGTCACTGCTGCTGAGCAGTATTTTTCAAGGACCGATTTTTTAGTATGTTTACTTTCTGGTTTTAAATGTTCTTTTAAGCAGCCCTCTGATTTGCCAAGATGCTTTGGGCATGTGTAACTTTTAAAGCAATTCTATAGGCATTGGTGTAAAAATTGCTAAATTCAGAGCTAATTCATGAGCTACATGAGTTTTCCTTCAATCAAATTCCTGTTGTATCACGTATTTATGTGCAAATCTAGCTTATAGATTCCAGCTTTAAAATCCCACAGAATATGGTCCCACAACATCAAGGCTGTAGTCAGTGCTTTCCTTGGCCCCAGTTTCCTTCAGGGGAGATTTGTACGAGGCACACACAGGACAGGGTCACCCTGACAAACTGGGCTGTGTGCTGTGGGTGATACCTGTGTTTCTGTGGCTCAAGGGGCCAAGATGAAGCCATCTCATAGTGGCCACGAGAAGGCAAGAGCCTGTGGTGCAGTGCAGCAGCAAAGGAGCTGGGTGGCTTAGACTGGCCATGGCTGCAGTGACTCTGGTGTTACTGGCCTTAGCCTCTGTGAGAAGGTAACCAGGGTGAGAATGCTGCAGCTTGGGACTGCACGGGGCTACACGCTTGCTGTTTCCACCTCACTCCGTAGAAGGCATTTCTGGAATAGTTTGTGTTTTTTCTTCTGGAGTTGGGAAACACGAGTGCCAGCTGGAGGAGTGAGACAGGTCCCAGCTCTGAGCTCAGGTTTCTGAAGCAGGCCAGCTCTCTGGAGGTTAATGTGAGTAGATTTCCTAAGGGGGAGTACATGGTGCACCAGACTGTTAGATTAATGTGAGAACTGAGGGAGGAGGGGAATGGAATAAAGAGAGAGAATGAATTATGTCTGAGTAGCTCTTGGTCATGCTCAGTTGACTGTTTAAAATA